ACACCGGGATGTACTCGTCCAGTTTCGTGGGTCTTAAACTTGGAGCTTATCGCGCTTCCAATTGATATCCAATTCAATGAGTACCACACACGGACATGCAAATATTGAACTTAAAAATATAGAACCATTCATTAAATTGCTTCATCGTGTGACTAACTCAGCGTTTGACACCAACCAATACACACCCTCGTCTGGTCAACAACGGATTGGTGGGGTAGGAATACAATCGATTTCAAAATCAGAACTTGAGGTCACAAAAAAACTACATAGGTAATCTACATCACGGGCACACTCGACGTAATTCAAATCGTGCAGTTTTGTTCAAAACACTGCTGATCACATGACCCAAAGGAAGGAAGGTCATTGAGGAGGCGAATTATAGTACACGCGCAAATTCACGTGTCGAAGCAGAGGACCATCCGCGTACATGCTGAAAAAAAGCGATTCGCACGTTCATTACCCTCCCACTCAAATGAAATTTCACTCGTGCTGTGTTGTCTACCATAGTTTGCAAGTGCATGGAACATTTCGGTACAATCTGGCGCATGGCATAGTTTCACTGTGTTTGCCCGTGGCTTAGTCCAACACAGACAGGACACGATAAAAGTACGTGACCTTGATACAAGCACTGTGTCTGACTCTATCGCTCACAATCAGACTGCTGTCTGATGTCTGTCTGACCATCTCGCTCTCTCTCTCTCTCTCCCTCTATTTGTCTGCGTCGCCGTAGTGACCGTGAATGTTTGAGTGGTACAGGGAGTAGACAAATGGAGAGGGGGGGCCGGGAAGAAGATGATTCTCAGTTCGTTCTGTGTACACCTTAACACAAGCTGCAGGCCAGTCTCGAAACTACAGCCAGTATGTGGGGAAACGTATTGTGAGTCGGTTGTATGAGCAACCGGATTTCGAGGCGTTCTCATTCGCAAATAAGGGGCACAACCAAAGCTGGCGATACGTGACCAGTGTCGATCGTCCCGGCAAGACGAATGTGGTTTAGTGTTACACGAGTAAAAAAATACGTAGAGCTCAGGCAGAACTAGCAATAACTATTCTGATTCCTTTCACATGAAATATTCGCACGTGTGAATGACCTGATTCTGTTTATTAAGAACAATCATTTATTTAGAAATAACCTTTCTGAAACCGGTCTGAATGTATGTACAACTAGAGCGAGAAGAAATACATCCCTACGAAGTGAACAATCTCTCCTCCTCCGATGTCAATCCGGTTCAAAATGCTTGGTGGATAAGAAAATAAAAGTGAAATGCAAAACTACACGTCAAAATGTTATGCACTATGAGCAAACAGTATACTATACTTCTGCAATAATTTTACCGGTTGTTTGGTGAATGCACTTCACGGACATCACACTGTGAACAACAAGCGCACCGAAAAAAAACCGTTCAGATTGCAGCAAAACTCCAACCTATCCCATTTTCCTTATGGTTTGAATCCACGATTAGGAGTGGCACTGGCATCTTATGGTAGTAGTGTTGTACAGTACTACTCACATTTGTGAGTAGTGCGCAAAAGGATGCGATTAGCGGTTTCTTTGAACAGTCCATAATGAACTAGACTTTTTGGAGCAAATTGCAAATTGTGTTCAGTCGTGCAACCACAGTAATGTGCATGTACTTTTGGGCCTTGCTGGTCAGGCTTGGATTAGCCGAATGCTCTGGTTGTAGATTTCCCAAGAAAATCCACTTGTTTTGGCCTGGGTAACCGGGCAGCGATTAGCCCATAAGTCAATCATGGAACTTTTTCTTTTTATAAGGCTTATCGCACCTAAATTTGTTTGGCACAAAATCTGGCCTCAGACGTGTGTGAAACACAATACAATGCATGAAGGGATTCCATTTCATAGGTTTGATGAAAAATACAACACCCAGAATCGGTGTACTATTTAGAATGAAAACATTGTAAGTGTGAAATGCGCAACCAGACTTCCTCGTGAAAAACAGAACACGTTTACCAGCAGTTTCGCGGCTTTTTTTGATTCCTGTCTTAGATAAGTATGGAAAAGTTCACTCCAGCGTGGAAAGGAATGAAAACGACAATGTGACTTAGTGTGTCCGTTTTTCTTTGGGAGGAAGGAGGGGATAGATTTATTCTTATTGGCTATATATATATATAGTTCTTCACTGCAAGCAGTTAAAAATACCATTCTCGCAGACCGTACATATAATACGTCTGTTCATTGGTGCAACCGACCATTTAGCACGCACGTAGGTCGTGTTTTTGCACTCAATCAGGAGACAGACAAAACGACAGAACATTGCAACGGTGAATTGGGAATAAATAAAAAATACATTTGAAAAAACGATTAAAAAAATGCGGATGACACTGTTCATGGCGACTAACCGCATCAGTTAAGATACACTGACTAATACCTCGTCATCGTAACACAAACATGTGACACCGTCGTAAGATCGGGACCGCGAAAGCTACTGCAGTGTGCCAAACATGCGCTGACGATGCTTATCACATGGCAGCTGTTGAGTTTAAGACCGACAGTCCTACTACTCTGTTTACCGCCATGATTCTCACCAGCGTGCTTTGGACCCTATGGTTCGAGGTTTGAGCCCCACCACCGCTACCTAACTTTGGCAGTAGACAGGTTTGCTGTCGTTCGGTTCAATACCACGCCTAACCTAGATGGGCTTTATGTGGTTCGCCAAATCGAAACCTGGGGTTCGATTACCGGTTACAATCACTGAACAGCAATTCCTCATTGCTCTGGGGCTTCCCCCATCTGCTGTTCATCACAAGTGGATGTGTTATAAAAGAAATTACAGCAGAGTACACTGAAGCGAATTTTACTGAGTGCTGCCAAACTCGTAATATATACTAAATTAGTGGTAATGTTTAAGGTGAACAGGGATTGGACCTATTACAGGAGAGGGATAAGGAAGGAAATTTCTATGAGCAAAACACAGAAAGAACACAATCTAATTGTGCATACATGGCATTTCAAGCATTCTGGAATGATAAGAAATGAGAACGAGAACACCATTGCTGTCGGTTCACTGCCATATCCCTCAATGTCTGCAACCAACCAGTTGCGGAATATTTCGGACCCCAACCTGGAAAGCGAGAGACACCTACTCTACCTAATGGCTTTGTGCGTTTGTTCATGCTTCGTCTCCACGTCTTGTTGACCTCCACGTGGTTTCCTCCAGCCCGGAGCGGCTACAGCGAATAAAGCGCGATGTGGTACACGGTAGCTGGGCATACGCAATACGTTCCCTAGCCAGTGCAGTTTACTAATCTGCATTCGATGAGCTAGCGATTTTATCCCTGGTCAACACTCAAACACACGACGGCTTACCTCCACGTTACTAACCCGTTCGCTCCATCCCGCATGGGATGAGCTACGTGAACACCTTCTTCTTCTACCTTCTACCTTCTCTTCTACTCGCCAATTCAA